AATAAACAAGAACACTATTAAATAATATTATATAAAATAATTAAAAATAAAAATAATTCACCCAAAAAACACAAATCAGTCATCATTAATTCACCAAATCTTAACGGTTTTTTTATCAAACACTAATACAAATATTAAATAAGATCTATTAAACAATAAATATGTAATATTTATAACAAATAATTATATTAAATACAACCAAATATTTTATTTTAAAAAATTATATATAAAATAATAACTTTAAATAATATATTATTATGTAATATAATATAAATAAATAATATTTCACTCTCATTCCAAACCCATATGACTTTCTCCCTGCTTTAAAGAAATGGACTTGTTGTTTTTCATGAAATTAAAATGAGTGGAAACTGATTTTGTGTTTACATATTTTACTTACTTTTGAATTTTTCATTTGGGGGAATTAAAACAGTGTGTAAAAATAATCTTAACAAAATTCTTAAGTAAAAATATGTAAACATCCTTAAAACTTTTTAATGTAGAGATAAAGTAAATATATACCGGTAATACACACACACTTTTTTCTCGTTTGGCTCTCAACGAAGGCGGTCGCATTTTCTCCCCCTCTCCTCCCCGTTACCTTCCCTGCTTTTGCTCCTCTCGTCTTGTCTACTGTCTTATAATTTTGAGAGTCTCTCTCCGCACTGCTCTCCAGACAAAAAATCATGGATTTGATCAACTGGTCTCTCAACGCACTCTGTCTCCCTCTCCCTCTCTCCGTCTCTCCCTCTCTCCGTCTCTCCCTCTCTCTCTGTGTGTGTCTCTCTCTCTCTCTCTCTCTCTCCCTCTCTCACCTTGTGGAGACCCAGTGTCCCTGGATGTTGGGTGGCATCTGTACAGTGATGCGAGCACCGTTCTGCAGGTGTTTCAGCATGTGGAGACACCGTGTGTCTTTGGACGGCCAGACGAGACTCTTCTCTAGAGCCAGACGAGGAGACGAGCCCTTCACACAACCTGATGAGATCAAGCACAGCAAACACAGCTCATCTCATGCTCATTCACTCATGCAGACCGAAACACTGAAATAATACGATCTGAAAATGCACTCCAGTTATCAACACTGAAAAATCATTTTTTACATTGTAAAGCTTGTAGAGCAAAATCTTCCTCAGAAAACTACCTAGCACTTGAGAAACACTCCAGCAACACCTTAAAGGGATAGTTACCCTGAAATGAACATTTTCTGGTAATTTACTCATCCTCAGGCCATCCAAGATGAAGAAGTCTTTTTTTTCTTCAGTAGAACAGTAAAGAAGATTTTTAGCTGAAACCGTGCTCCTTGGTGATTCATATAATGAAAGTCAATGGCTACCGTCGCTTTGAGAGTCAAAAAATTATATACAGGCAACACAAAATTAATCCTCATGGCTCCTGATGATATATTGAGTTCTTATAAAGTGAAACGATCAGTCTGTGCAAGAAACTGAACATTATTTACAGCATTATTAGCTGTAATCTAGAGCCTCGGGCAAACGGTCTGGAGTGCTGTCTGAACGAATCATTCTTTTGAACTGATTTGTTTTAGTGAACTAGTTGAACCAGTTCATCGAATCGGACTGAATCAATACCGTATACCGTAATAAAAGCATTAGCAATTAATCGCAACATGAAAATTTGATACCGGCTTATCCCTACCTGACAGTCACTGCGACTCCAAATGAGCCGAAACAGCGGCGAATCAGATCCTGTGATGAATGAATCATTCAGCGCTGGGGAAACAGTTCGACTCGGACCGAAGACCGATGAGCCGCTGATATGAGCATGCGTGAACCCAACACGGGGTCAAATGAAGGTTTTTATCATTTCTCATGGTTTATGTAAAACAGTGAGCTGATGAAGACGAGTTTATTCACTTTATATGCTTTAGACACATAAAACATCCACGTTTCACATCATTATTGGGTGCTTTAATAATATAATTGCTTATACGTGACGTCATTGTGTGATTATGTAAATGAACTAGTGAATTGAATCAATTCATTAAATCGAACTGTCCGAAAGAATCAGTTCACAGCAAGGTTATTTTCGTAAACGAAAACTAAAACTAAGACTAAAACGATTGATGAAAAAACAATTTCGTAAACTGAAATAAAATAAAAACGTCACAATATTGGAAAAACTAAAACGAAACGAAACTAACAAAAAACTAACAAAAATATGAATGAAACTAATAAAAACTAAACTGAATTTTATAGCAAATTTGAAAACGATATTAAAATAAAACTAATTTAAACATTCAAAACTATATTAACCTTGGTTCACAGAAAAGAATCGTATTTCACTGTTTACCTGAGGCTGTAAATAATGTTCAGTTTCTTGCACAGACTGATCGTTTCACTTCATAATACCTCAATATATCGTCAGGAGTCATGGGGATTCATTTTGTGTTGCCTGTTTATGTGTTTCTGCCTCGGTAGCCATTGACTTGCATTATATGAATCACCAAGGAGCACGATTTCAGCTAAAAAAATCCTAAAACCGTTAAAAAAACAGTAAAAGTTTTACTGTTAAAAAAACAGTAAAACCTCTTTACTGTTCTACTGAAGAAAAAAGTATCCTACATCTTGAATGTCCTGAGGGTGAGTAAACTACCAGCAAAATATGACTTAAATGACCTTTAAACTAATGAAACTAACTGTCCAGCTGTGTAGCTGAGTAATATCAGTTTATGTTGGCACTGAAACAGAATTTATAAAGGGTTCATTCACAAAAAGAAATATACAGATGTATGTCAAAAGTAAACATGTATGTATCTACACTGCAATGATGCCTGGTTATAAAGATTTCTACACAATGTTTAGATCAGAATTCAAAATTAATGCTATTAATCTACATTAGAGGATATAAAGCGCTTTAATGAATGTGGGAACGAGCCGCTGCTGGACTGAGATCAGCTATTATAATTCATTTTCACATAATGACACTTGGAGCAAATACAGCTGATGGCTGGATAACAGCAAACACATTTCTGGCCGGCGATCAGGAGCCGCATGAGGAAAATCTGAGAGAATCTGAGCACTAAAACCTCGGAAATGAAAGCATTTGGGTGCCTGAGGCTGCAGCTCTGGATTCCACACGAACGGTTCTGTTAAGAGTTCTTCACAGAAACATCAATGCCAATGAAAAAGCTTTATTTGTAAGAATGTCCGCCCGCGTTTATTTTTACGGATCATAACGCAACAATGTGTTCTCCAGCTGGAAACATTAGTAATGCTCCAGTGCTTCACTCATATCAAAGTCTTTAACACCTGCAAAACACATACTGTACACTATAGCGGTCAAACGTTTCGGGTCGGAAAGAAGAATCTCTTCTGCTCACCAGTGCTGCATTTATTTAATCAAAAATACAGAAAAAACAGTAATATTGTGAAAATGTATTTTAATTTAAAACAGCTGTTTTCTATGTGAATATATTGTAAAATGGAATTTATTTCTGTGATCAAAGCTGAATTTTCAGCATCATTACAGTTAAACTCATCTAGAGAAGGTTTAAGTCCCTCTGGAAGTTATCTGTTAATTCTGCTAAACTTTAATTAAAACTGAAACTAAAACTGAAACTAAACTATATAAAAACTAAACAAAAATATTAATGAAACTAATAAAAACTAAACTGAATTTTATAGCAAATTTGAAAACGATATTAAAATAAAACTAATTTAAAAATTCAAAACTATATTAACCTTGGTTCACAGAAAACAATCGTATTTCACTGTTTACCTGAGGCTGTAAATAATGTTCAGTTTCTTGCACAGACTGATCGTTTCACTTCATAATACCTCAATATATCGTCAGGAGTCATGGGGATTCATTTTGTGTTGCCTGTTTATGTGTTTCTGCCTCGGTAGCCATTGACTTGCATTATATGAATCACCAAGGAGCACGATTTCAGCTAAAAAAATCCTAAAACTGTTAAAAAAACAGTAAAAGTTTTACTGTTAAAAAAACAGTAAAACCTCTTTACTGTTCTACTGAAGAAAAAAGTATCCTACATCTTGAATGTCCTGAGGGTGAGTAAACTACCAGCAAAATATGACTTAAATGACCTTTAAACTAATGAAACTAACTGTCCAGCTGTGTAGCTGAGTAATATCAGTTTATGTTAGCACTGAAACAGAATTTATAAAGGGTTCATTCACAAAAAGAAATATACAGATGTATGTCAAAAGTAAACATGTATGTATCTACACTGCAATGATGCCTGGTTATAAAGATTTCTACACAATGTTTAGATCAGAATTCAAAATTAATGCTATTAATCTACATTAGAGGATATAAAGCGCTTTAATGAATGTGGGAACGAGCCGCTGCTGGACTGAGATCAGCTATTATAATTCATTTTCACATAATGACACTTGGAGCAAATACAGCTGATGGCTGGATAACAGCAAACACATTTCTGGCCGGCGATCAGGAGCCGCATGAGGAAAATCTGAGAGAATCTGAGCACTAAAACCTCGGAAATGAAAGCATTTGGGTGCCTGAGGCTGCAGCTCTGGATTCCACACGAACGGTTCTGTTAAGAGTTCTTCACAGAAACATCAATGCCAATGAAAAAGCTTTATTTGTAAGAATGTCCGCCCGCGTTTATTTTTACGGATCATAACGCAACAATGTGTTCTCCAGCTGGAAACATTAGTAATGCTCCAGTGCTTCACTCATATCAAAGTCTTTAACACCTGCAAAACACATACTGTACACTATAGCGGTCAAACGTTTCGGGTCGGAAAGAAGAATCTCTTCTGCTCACCAGTGCTGCATTTATTTAATCAAAAATACAGAAAAAACAGTAATATTGTGAAAATGTATTTTAATTTAAAACAGCTGTTTCTATGTGAATATATTGTAAAATGGAATTTATTTCTGTGATCAAAGCTGAATTTTCAGCATCATTACAGTTAAACTCATCTAGAGAAGGTTTAAGTCCTTCTCAAGTTACTAAACCTGGTTTGATGTGGCTTTAAACCACTTTATCTGTTTTGTGAATTATTCTCTACTAGCTAAATGAATAAATGACATACACTACTGTTTCTTGAAAGAAATTAATACTTTTATGCAGCAATGCTGCATTAAATTGATCAAGAGTGACAGTAAAGACATTTATAATGTGAGTTCTATTTCAAATAAATGCTGTTCTTTTGAACTTTCTGTTCATCTGTGAATCCTGAAAAATAAAATGTATCAGTTTCCACAAAAATATTGTGCAGCACGACTGTTTTCAACATTGATAATAATCAGAAATGTTTCTTGAGCAGCAAATCAGCATATTAGAATGATTTCTGAAGATCATGTGACACTGAAGACTGGAGTAATGATGCTGAAAATACAGCTGCGCATCACAGAAATAAATTACAGTTTAACAGATGATCACATAGAAACAGCTGTTGTAGATTCTAATTATTTGTAACAATTTTTACTGTATTTTTGATCAAATAAATGCAGCCTTAGACTTTTTGAATTTTGGAACGTTAGCATAAATGCACTTAATTTGTTCCCGAAGCCCTCTGAAGTCTAGAGCATAACTGTAACTAGTTCATATTTTCAATTATGCATCAATGAACTGATGTTTTTCTCACACTAATTCATGTGCATTTTTATCCATCCGTTGTTAATGCTGAAGCCAAACGTCAAGTGTGTTTGGTTCCCAGCGCTGCTTTTCTACTGTATCTCAATCCAAGCGTCCGCAGCGCTCTGGAGAACATCTCCAGCTGGTGAGCTAACATCTCAAATCTCAAAGCCTTCCGGAGAGCCGCTCTAACTGCCCTCTCCTTCATTCTGATTATATGTACAAGTTTATGAGCTTGCAGACGTTTTAATGGCCGCATGATTCAGTGGAGGAAAGGGTTTGATGTGGATAAGAACATGAGATTACAGCACATGCATTTAGACAAGCATAATGGGCTCCGAGCTCAATGCTTATTTTCTCTCTCTAGCAGTCTTGTGCCTAAGATCTTTGCTTTTTTTACATTTATTATGTATTTTTCTCAGATTTGATATAAGTTTTGCCAATTTACACTATGACACTATGCAGTTAATAAGACACTGTTGATGCATAAAATAAGACAACATATATAAAACTGAATATAATTGTTTCAAACTGCATAATTATGTCATCTTAAAGGGGCCATATCACACTATATAATCACATTACACTATATATCACATTATATAATGTTATCATTTACAAACACTATGTAACAAATATAAAGCATAAAATGACCCTGAAAATCAATTCCAGGAGGCAAATTTTGCCATTGAAAAGATATATAT